TCTCTCTCTCTCTCTCTCTCTCTCTCTCTCTCTCTCTCTCTCTCTCTCTCTCTCTCTCTCTCTCTCTCTCTCTCTCTCTCTCTCTCTCTCGACGGGAAACGCGGCAGGTATAGTACAGCGTCGTTGGGGCGTCGTTGCCTACCAACGGTTGGGCATATATCTCGACGGTTTGGGGGGGGAGTGGGGGGCGTTGGCCCCAAAAAAGAAATGTTGGTTCAAAAAAAAAACATCCGGGGACGTACCCGACTTAAGTATGGGCTGGATTCTTTTCGGCTCTGTGTACTTCTCCGCATACGCGCCCAGATTCGTGATTAGGGCGTTGTTCTGGTGGCCATCGTAGTCTCTTCCCCTCTCTCTCTCTCTCTCTCTCTCTCTCTCTCTCTCTCTCTCTCTCTCTCTCGGCCATCGTAGTCTCTTTCCCTCTCTCTCTCTCTCTTTCTCTCTCTCTCTCTCTGATGGGGGTATTTTGCAAAGATGGCCAGAGTGTTCCCGTCTACCCAGATCTTTTAGGTGCATTTTGGCATATAGCTCAACTTATAGGGGTGTTCCCTTAATGCCTGAATGCGGCCCTGTTTTGGGGTTCTTTCCATTGCCGCAACTGCACATTGCGAAGCTCTCGTAGGCTAGTCGCCGGTCCGCCCCCGACCTGGCTGCGCCCCCACGCCCGAGCGTGGTATCAGTGGGGACAGGAGCAGGAAATGGAGATAGAACTGGTTTTCTGTATCTCTGCATAAAACATTGCCAGATTCAGGATTTCTATCCTATCCCCTTTGCTAGCGGGACCACGGCCCCGCAGATGTCCCATGGGTGTTTGTGAGCCGGCCTCTTTCTTATGACTTTGATAATAAAAAGTTTGCGACTTCCAAAAAAACAAACAAAAAAACACCGGATTGAGCCAACGACGCGGCTACAGTAGTGGCCTGACGTCCCGACTCGACGCTGCACGGAGTTGCGCCCAAGCAAGCGCCGACCTGCGGAAACCACCACACCAAGAAAGCTCGTGAGTTATGTCTGGCGCGGAAAGGGAGGGGAGAAGACCGACAGGAAACAGCGGAAGACGAACTGAACTGAAACCTAATTCTTTGTCAGGCACTTGTGTTGGGCGGGTTCGCTACGGCTCCCATGGTTCTGTATGTAGATAGAATAGATTAGGGCAAACTCGAACTTGGAATTACCGGCATGTATTCTCTCAGAAATCAGGGCCAGATTCCGTCAGGAAACCCTCCTGTGAGTACATGCCCATGGTCAATCAACAGAAATGGTTGCCTTGGCAGAAGAATGGAGCGTCGGTATACCCGAACGAGGCTGCTGCTACTTGTCAATGGCAGCCCGCGCGCGTTATGACAACCGTTTTCTTTTTTTTCTTTTATTTCGAGACGACCACCGTTTTCTGGACCAGGTTCTTTGTTTAGTTTCATCAGACCTAAATTATTTCACAATTATGTGGGCTGGAGCTAAACACCCTGACTCGGTATGGAAGAAGAGTTCGTCACGGACACTTATTTTGGCTGTATCTGGCCGGAAATATAGCTTCTATACATTCATTTTTAGGGTGCGTTATGTTCGGGGGAAGACAGTAGTCAGGGGACAGAATGAACGGGAACATCCTCTGGGTGGTCGTGTTCCCTGGACGCTGGCCCTCACTCCCGCGCCCTCCTCCCCCCCCTTCTCCCTCTTCTTCCCTCCTCCCCCTCCTCTCTCTCTCTCTCTCTCTCTCTCTCTCCCTCTCTCTCTCTCTCTCTCTCCCCAGGACAGAGAGACGAGGGAGAATGTACCTCCAAAATCGGAAGTGGAAATGTATTTGTGCAGAACTTAGCGTTCATTTCGATGAGCAGGGTGTTGTCTCGCAGAAGACCGAACCCAAGGCAACCCCGCCTTCGTAATCCGCGTTATCTCCGAGCTCTTCCTGAGTTGTATTACGTGTCTGCACCCTGTTCGTGAGCACAGGCGGAGCGGGCTGTGGGCACTGTGCATCTGAGGTGAAGGTCGGCGGGGAGATCGCAATCTTCAGTGTTTCCGCCTGTAAGTTGCGCGCGCGAGTTGCAGTCGCCTGCGCCCTGGTCGCGATCAGCGGAAAGGGGGGAGGACGAGACGGTGCCAGGCACCAACAATCCTGGTCGGTCGATCTACCTGATTCTCCCTGAACGGGCTGATCACCTGAGCTCCTTCTGCCGTAGCTGGAGCCTGGAGGTGGCTGGCGTCTTGCCCACCAACTTCGTCTCCCTCTCTCCCTCTCTCCCTCTCTCCCTCTCGATCTAGTACGAGAGAAGAAGGAAGATGGGTTTCGAGGCTGCCGCCGCTCCCTTGATCGTGTCGTTCGGTGAGTTGCTGATCGACTTCGTCCCGACCGAGAACGGCTTGTCGCTCGCGGAAGCGCCCGCGTTTAAGAAGGCCCCCGGCGGCGCGCCGGCTAATGTGGCTGTGGGGATTGCCAAGCTCGGCGGGAAGGTGGCGTTTATCGGCAAGGTCGGGGAGGACGAGTTCGGCCGCATGCTGGCGGGCGTATTGGAGTCGAACAACGTGGATGTCTCCGGCATGACCTTCGACAAAAACGCGCGAACGGCGCTGGCCTTCGTGACTCTTAAAATGAGCGGCGAGCGGGAATTCATGTTTTACAGGAATCCCAGCGCGGACATGTTGCTGACTCCGGCGGAGCTGGACAGGAAGCTCATCGCCGACGCCGCCATTTTCCACTACGGGTCGATCAGCCTCATCACGGAGCCCTGCCGGTCAGCGCATGTCGAGGCCATGAAGATTGCCAAAGCGGGAGGAGCTATCTTGTCTTACGATCCGAACCTCCGTCTTCCCCTCTGGCCGTCCGCGGAGGCCGCCAAGGAAGGTATCCTTAGCATCTGGAATGAGGCGGACATAATTAAGGTGAGTGATGAGGAGCTCATGTTCCTGACTGGCGCCAAGGAGGTCAGCGAGAAGGTTGCCCGCAGCCTGTGGCACGATGGACTTAAACTCCTCCTGGTCACCAGGGGAGAGGAGGGTGCTGATTACTACACCAAGACCTTGGGCGGACATGTGGACTCGTTCAAGGTCAAAGCCATCGACACTACCGGGGCAGGAGACGCATTTGTCGCCGGACTGCTTGTCCGCGCTGCCGCGGATCCTTCGATCCTTGAGGACGAAGCGGAACTCAAGTCGACCCTGCGATTCGCGTGTGCGGCGGGCGCTATCACCACCACTGAGAGAGGAGCTATCCCAGCTCTCCCTACCCCAGACGCTGTGCTCGCACTGCTCGCCAAGGAAGCTGCTATCTGATGAGAGTTGTCGAAATTGCCTTATTAAGTTATTAGCCCTTTGACATCTTTAAGCTCATTCTCTCTCCCTTTTCTCTCTCTGTCTGTCTCTGTGTGTGTCTCTGTGTGTGTGCGTGCGTGTGTGTGTGCTGTCTGTCTCTGTGTGTGTGTGTGTGTGTGTGTGTGTGTGTGTGTGTGTGTGTGTGTGTGTGAGAGAGAGAGAGAGAGAGAGAGA